TGTTGTTTGGCGGGCCCGGGCTGGGGATTCGAACTCGCCACCTTAGGTGTACGTGGCTGGCGCCTTAGCCGATTGAGCCACAGGCGCCGAGCCAAGCAACTGCATTTTAACAGGATGTACATTATAATGGAAGCTAAGGGAGGGGTCAATTTCTTAAGCATTTGTAACTGCCACTCTATAGATTTTTGTTTTGACAAATTATTTGTCATATTGATGTAGTTAATAGTTAACAATTACCACTGTTCTAAGTTCTATATGTATGTAAAAGATACATTAATTTAAGAAGAAAAATGTTTGAGTTCACAAAGGAAATGAATAGATTAGAGAATATGTCATCTTTTGCAGAAAGAAAACTTAAATCCACTGTTCATTTTATAACTTCCTAAAAATCTCCACATGGAAAGTAGCAATTATTTAGATTTTTATAAGGCTTTTTCCATAAAAATTTAATATGCTTTTCATAAAGGTTCAATGTACTTTTACCTCTCTTACTTGTCTACAAATGTAAAATAGAAAAAGGGCAGGTATTAATCCCATTTGAGGGTAGAGAGATTAAAACGCAAGGAATTTATTAGCTTTAACACGCTAATGTTGCACAAAGCCCATGATGAACAGAAGAATTAAATGTAGGCCTTGACCTTCAGCCTAGTACATTATGATCTATGCTACTACTGAGCCTGTTATAAACAAAAATATATGAAGAAAAAAGTTCCTTAATTTTTAGTGGCACCTAAGAATAGAATTCCAAATAAGTCAGACTACAAAATAATAGCAATTCAATGCTGGATACTCATCTACTTCTAGCCTGGTACTATATAAATATGAGTAACATAAATGTGTGTTCTTTTCTTATAGACAAAATAGACCAAACTATGTCTTGAATAGACAGGAAACTTTTTTCCTCAAGACATCTCTCACCAAGTCTGTGTGACAGAACAAGGTTTGGTCTGGTAGATTTGAATACTTAGTTCCACTCAATCTGTGACATAATTAGCTGGAGATTTTGAGAGTCACTTCATCTCTCCCAAGAACATTGTTCAATCACCTTTAAAATTAAAGGCTCTAACTAGATCTCCAAATTCCTCCAGAGCCCAGACTCTGTGATGTCTGAATAACATTTGGTGAGTCTTCCTTTCTTAAGCAGTCCTTTCAGGAAAAAGTAAAAATCATTTACATTATAAAGTAAGGCTGATTTCGTGGATGTATGTTCTGTGCAGGTTCCAAATGGCCCTGTGCATGGTTCAATTTTCTGCTATTACTGTCTTTAAATATCCAATAATTTTTGAATGAGAAGGCCCTATATTTTCATTTTCCACTGGACCTTGCAAATTATGTAGCTGAGCCTATTCCTATGAGTTGACTATTAATAAGTACTAAAGATATTTTCCCATATTTTTCTCCTCTCTTTCCTAGGAAGAGGAGACTAGCTAGTCTTTCTAACAGGAAGACATCCCATGGCCTTTAAAGAGAGGTGAATGGGGGAGTAAAATATTTGCCTGCTGTACAACGGAATGGGAGGGGGGTGTTGGAGGGGGTGGGGAAAAGAGGAAGAAGGTAGACAGATACTTCCACTATGAAATGCTTCCCCACTTTCTGCTACTTTTTTTCTCTATCATATAAGAGTGCCACCTACTGGTCAAGGACATGGACTCTTCCAAAGATTTCAAATGGAGTCATTTTTACATTTTAGTAATAGTCTGGAAGAGTGTTATTAGAAAGGTTTGACATATCATATTCTGAAGTTTAAAATGATGATTACCAAATGCTTCTTCAGTTCCAAATTCCATACTTAGCAAACCTAATATAAAGAATCCTTTTCTGTCCTTCTGATCAGTCTGTTAAAGCTGATATCATTTATTGAATAAAAAATAATTTTTAAAAAGCAGTATGTGGTGGGCATTGTGGTTCAAAGCTGTAATCCTAGCACCCTGGGAGACTGAGGAAGGAGGATCACTTGATCTCGGGAGTTCGAGACCAGCTTGAGAGCAAGACCCCATCCCTACAAAAAATAGAAAAAAAATTAGCTGGGCATGATGGTTGTGCCTGTAATCCCAGTCACTCTAGCCTAAGGCTAAGGTAGAAGGATTGCTTAAGCCCAGGAATTTGAGATTGCAGTGAACTATGATGACACCAGCACACTCTAACCAGAGCAAGACTCTGTCTCAAAAAATGGAAAAAAAAAAAAAAAATATATATATATATATACATATAAAAGAAAGCACTATATGTTAGGCATCAAGCACTCAATAATGAACACCATTAACAGAAATATTTAGGTCATCAAGAACTTTCTCAAATGGGTCCAGATTCTCAGGCTTATCTTGGGTCTGAAACAAAATACCTTGAACAGCAGCATCATTTCAACACTGGATAGTCATCTCAGGGAAGGGTTACATTTTCACTCTGGGGAAATGAGGACAGTTAGGAGGCACAGACAAAATTGACAGTCATGGATAAAGGACAGTATTCAAGACAGCTTCTCCCATTTGTAATCTATCCTGAATGAGGAATTCATTAGATTAAAGGTTATCAGAAGTCCTCCCTGCCACATTTTCTAGATTACCAGGAATAAAAGAGAGAACTTAAACACCTGAGTGTTTTATCATGAAAGGTTGCTGGATTTTTCCACATTTTTTTCTGCAAAATTGAAACAAAATATTTTTGTTTTTCTCCCTTTGTTCTGCTAATGTGGTACATTGATTTTCTTATATTGAACTATCCTTGCATTCCTGAGGATCCAATATGCTGTTGGATCTAACTAATACTTTTCAAGAATTCTTGCATCACTAGTCACAGAGGAGATATTAGTCTGTAACTTTTTATAGTGTTAAAAACATATAACACAAAATTTACCATATTCACCATTTTTATTGTACAGTTTAGTAGTGCTAAACATATTCACACTGTAGTGACAGATTTCCAGAACTTTTCATTTTACAAAACTGTTATTCTACAGCCATTAAACAACTCTCTTTCTCCCTCTCTCCCCAGCTCCTGTTAATCATCATTCTTCTCTCCTTTTCTATGAATTTGATTACTCTAGATACCTTCTATGAGTGAAATTATGCAGTATTTTTTTTTTTTTGACACTGGTTTATTTTACTTAGCATAATGTCCTCAAGGTTCACCAATGTTGTAGCATGAGATGGTATTTCCTTCCTTATAAGGCTGAATAATATTCCATTGTATGCATATAACAGGTCCTGTTTATCCTTTCATCTGTTGATGGACCTGTGGGTTGCTTCCACTCTTGGTGGATAGTGCTGCTCTAAACATGAGTGTGCAAATGTGCAATTTCCTTTTCTTGTGATGTCATTATTTGATGCCAGAGGCTTTAGTATCAGGGTGTTGGCCTTACAGAATGAATCAGGAAGTATTCCCTTCACTTTTATTATTTTGGTGGAGAGTTTGAGAAAGATTAGTGTTAATTCTTCTTTAAATGTTTAGTAGAATTCATCAGAGAAGTGACCTCGTCCTGGAGTTTTCTATGTTGGGACACTGTGATTACTGATTCAATCTCTTTACTTATAGTATGTTTATTGAGATTTTCTATTTCTTCTTGAGTCAGTTTAGGTAACTTACATTTCCCTAAGAATTCACCTATTTTATTTATCTAATTTGTTGGCATACATTTATTCTTCGCATTTGTCTTCTCACTTTTTTCTTTGTTGGTCTAA